GGCATTATATGTGCCCACAGGCCGAAATAAACATCTTACATCCTGTTTTCTCAAAAAGCCACAACAAAAGAAGGTATCTCAGTTAAAAGGAGTCTTTTAATAACCCAAGTCTGACCCAATATCCAAACCCAAGTCTCAGACTTGGGTACCCAATATCCAAACCCAAGTCCAGACTTGGGTTCGGGTTTGTAACATACCTACTGTTGGTATAATCAATACGATATGTAGTATCATTTGTCTGTGCTACCGTTAAGTATTCGTCTGAATAAAGATCGTCAACATCAACGTTTAATGTGACAAGACGATTATTCACTCGTATTTCTAACAATTTCAACTCGGTGAATAGTTCAAATTGTACTTTAGGATAATTGGCATTTTTTATAACAAATGCTTGTATGACTGTGGCATGATTATTTATTATATTACTTTCAATTGGTTCTAATTGTATTTGAATTTCAATAGACGATGTTTTAAATAGAACGTATTCACCATAACCATTAAATGTATAGGAATAATTATTGTAACACGTGAAGTGTGGATCACATTTTCCGCCTGCAGGGAGAGGTGGATTTAGTTCATTTGTACATGTATCTGGTGATTGTTTCTCGTAATATGTGCGACACTGGTTGGACCACTTACAACAGGTCACAAATGGTACGACATCAAGAGCAAAATGACCATACCAAGTGAATAATACGTCCAACGTTCTAGCTCCATTTTCTTCTTTTCCTATCCATTTTCCATCTTGTGTATAACAACATTGTGACCGTGCACCACCGATAGCTTGTTCTGCTTCGCCTCTGTAACATCCATGTGCACCGGGATGAAAAAAATTACAACCCCAAGCTAGACCAAGTTTACATGCATCATCTTGTTTGAAACCTCCGTATTCACTTTCAAATGTACTTGGTACGATACATGGACACGGTTGTGTTCTAACTGGATTCGCAGGCATTAGACTCCACAAAGCACAACCAATAGAATTTATTAATGGACTTAAAAGAAAAAATCCAGATGTTATGCAACCAAAAGTAGAAAAGAATCCCCGAGTTTGTTGTGATGATTTTGATTGTTCAGAACTTATTGCAAATATATAAATTGATGTATTAGACTTCAATAATGTAAAATTATTTAGATAATAAGTATCATCATCGATTAATGATAAGTTTACACTTGACTGTAATAAAATTGGCTGTACAGGTGTGATATTCAATTGATTATTATCGTTTGCCTGACGAGTATAATCAGCAACGACTGTATACAATATAATGTGACATTGAAAAGGTTTTCTATTGTTAATGAATTTCTTCGATATTTTGATGTAAAATGATTTGTATTTGCAAATGTTTTTGATAAATTGCAGTCCACTAGGATTAGCTCAGCATTGTCCTTAAGTAAAGAAGATATAAAGTCTGTGGATCCAATTCGAATATTGGTATTTTTATCATAAATACTGATCAATAAAGTGCCACTATTGTATAGCATTGGCATGACGCATGATAAAAATAGAGGAGCTGCTATTTTACAATCGCTCATTATTGTAAGATTTTCAATTTTAATTCGATAGGACGATGTTTCATTGAAACATATGCCATGGAATTGCAACGTATAACCAGCTAGCGTTGAACCACCATAGGGTGTTGTAAGTAAACCGTCTGAGCTATTACAGTCAATATTAGTAATATTACCTGTTGTACGAAAAATAAATTGCCCGGGCACATTTATATTGGGCTCATTAACGGATATCCGGACCATTGTCCCAATGACCATTCAAGTTTATAATAGGAGAATATGGTAAACGAGTAGAAAATATTTGTTGCAATAATTGCTTGAAATGTATTCCGACCCGAATCGCCTTTGTGTCCTGGTACACGATCCCACGTTGCCATAAATGACCAAACGATTTTATAGGTGCTAACCAAGATAGAATATGCATTTTTAATCATATCTGTGATGGATGATAATATATTCACATCTGTATCAGTAATTTCTCGATAAAATATGTTACTGTTAGCATCATTTCTGATGTCGGTGTCCGCTCAATATGGTGAAACACAGGTATACGACTCTTGCGGAAATGTATTTGGCTGTTGATGTGGAATGACATAGGACTCATTACCAAATAAAATAAGTCCATGATTGTACAATTTAATCTCGCCGTATTTTTTGTTAAAAAATGGAAATTTCACTTTTATGTATATTGGTGGTGTAATGTGGTCTATTGTGCGTGGTAACGCTTGATCATCGTTTGAAAGACCAAATGGTATGAATGTAGATGGAGATGATTGCACTTGAATCGACAATTCGTAAATAGTACAGAAGACTCCTGCTAGTGAAAACATGTTTTATGTCTGCAAGAAATCAGTGCAATTAATCAGTGTAATTCTGAAGTTATATAGCTTTGATATATTTATATTTTCATAAAAATATATACATGAGAATACTTCGTAATTTGATACAATATACATAAAAATAATACGTCTCCGTTGTTCAGTCATCGTCATCATTATTGATCATTACCCGATAAAGAAAAAGATTCATCTCTCATGGGGGAACCATCGTGAGAAAGTCTGAGACATCTGAAACATTTGTACACAAAACTGTCCACTCAAAAAAATTTAAAACGTTTCTCCGATTTTTAAAACTACTACCATCCAATAGCTCCGATAAAATCATCGGTACATGCCTAGTTCGAAACATAGAAAATTTAAGAATGTTTCTTTTAAACTAATCAATAAAAAACAAAAATCTGGAATTGACATTAGCTTACCTATTATAACATACATGTTGTATGTGGAGAAACTTATTTACTTCATAACTCGGTCAGAACACTCTGATATATTTACTACCACGACGGTAAATATTTGACTTCAAATCAGTTAAATTTATCTATAAAAATCTACCGGTAAAGATCAATGACTAGTATTACATGTTTAAAATGTTGTACAAAACGAAGTGATGAACAAGCATTCACAGAATTTTATCAGATATACGCTATTGTTTATTTACTTAGTTCTCTTGATACGAAGAATCTTACTGTACAAAAGTTACTTGTTTTTGGAAGGATATGTCATGTTTTTACAACGAATTTTTTGTTTCGATAGAGTACAAGATGAATTATCTTTTTATCTGCAATAAAGATCATAGCCAATTCCAACAAAGAGTTCTCTACTGGCATGCTACGAATGAAGGAACAAGCCGATGATAAATTAAATTTGTTTCTTTTTTGTTAAAAAGAAATAGCGCCATACAGGGTTCGAACCTGTGACTTTCTTCTCCGGAGGAAGACGCTCTAGCCACTGAGCTAAAGGCGCTTACTTAGTTTGTAATCATCTCATAGTTGACAAATGCACACATTTCGCAAATTTTGAGAAAAAGTAACCATTTTGAATCTCGTTTAACCAATTCGAATCTCCTTTACTACGATTAACTCAGTATAATAATGAAGATGATTAAAAATCTTTTTCTGTCATCTCTAACAATGAACTTGTATCAGATATTGAAGCTACTATTAAATCAGTTAATGGTGTTACAAATATAAATATATCTGATGATACTTGTGGTAAAAATATGTTATACTTTTTCCAATACAATAAATAAACTTTGAAATAAAAAATACACATTGTCAACATTACTAAATTCATTTTGATAACTGATATATATGCTACCTACTGTAAAGAGTAATACAAAAAATGATCCTAGTAGACGGCCGCTCTTTAATTCATGGTTTGGCAGGCAAACTAGAATACATATGTGGTTGATTTACAAGTCAAGTTTCAGAATAGATTATACTGACTGTTCGATCTAAAGTTCATATATAAGTCAATTGTCTTCAATGTATTATTTTCTATGCTGATCCGCAACTTTTTGACTTTTTATCGCATCACTTTGTTATTTGATCGTGTTATCCTAATGAAAGTCAATAATTAACAAAGAAGAAACCAGACAAGAAAAATTCATTTAAAGAAAGCATTAACATACAATGGAGTTCAGTCAGAAAACTGTTTATGTACGGACAATCTTATTATGTTACAATTTAAATGATAAGTAATAAGGAATAAAACATTTTACGTTTCTGCACAGTGTACGAACAGAATGTGTTCTGAAAATGTTTTAGTTTTGAATTTGTTTGTTCGTTCACGAAGCTGAATATTAATATTCTTCAATTCGTCATATTTATTTGGATTAATTTAATTTTCACGCATTTTTCGCATATGATTCATGATGTGAGATTTGCCCACAATAAATGTTATTTTTGATCTACTAGGATCATTTCTTGTATTACTCTTTACAGTAGGTAGCATATACATCAGTTATCAAAATGAGTCTCACATTTCTGGACACCCTCACCGTCACCTCAACTTATTCAGCCCATCTACGCTAAAAGGAATCAGCGAGGAGAGAGTTTTTCAAGAAAATCAACTTTCAATACGCAGTCATCTTCTTAGATAACATAAAATTGCCATACATTCAAACGCGGCACAAATCAGTATCTCTCTTCTTGGTCTGCTTCAGTATGTTTAGTCATTATATAATGTGTACAAACATTTTTTATCGATATTTCACTGAAAACAGCACTCATACACTACTTCTAAAGCGGAGCGCTTCGTCGGTCGTCGGCGTCCCTTCGGTCCGCCACTCCCGACTCGCCGCTATGATATGCTCATCACACACTTTGCTTAGGCATATATTCGGGACTGTTTTGATAAACAAAGGAATCTCTGTTCAGTTTCTTTTGATTCAAAGCTCTCTAGATGTTTTCAGTCTGTTCCGCATCCATATTTAACTCATCATCAAGTGTTGTACCACTGGCTCTCATCAAAAAAGCAATGAGATACCAAACTTGTCTCAAAAAGACGATTTTTGGTCATGATGGATTCAAAGTTTTGAATCCGAAAGGACGGTTTGTTACAACCCTTGAGGATAGATGCTCATCAAATATTTCGTTTCAACCCCCACCTTACGGCGCCGGGAATACTCAGAGGTGTTCTTTCTCCTTTTTGGCTTGTCGGCTGAGTGCGGGATTCTTGTTCAAGCAGAATGTGCGTTTTTTCAGAGAAAAACAGGCTAACAAGCCCTATAGTTTCTCCGTTTTCGATAGAAGGAATAATAAGTTCCTTCTTATTTTACTCCGTTCGTTGCTCCGTTCGTTTTTAAAAAAGTTTTCGAAAAATTCGAACTCTTTTAGTCTTTTTTCGAGTAAAAGACTCTCTCTCTAGTCTTGAGAACGGTTGCTCACTCGCGTGAAGACAAACGATTGCCACAGAAAAAAGAAGAAGAAAAGTTTCTCTTGCCTCCATATCCTTTCGATGCCAAGATCACAAAGATCGATTGTCAGTTCTCGTTGTTCTTCATCTTACTCAATCGACTTATTCCTTGGAAAGAAATCCTCGCCACCTTCTTTTCAAACTTCGTGTTCTGTTCCTTTTCAACAATGAATTGTTGATGACGGGACAATTTGATCATTCATTTTCTGTATCCCCGTTCAGCATCATCATTTCGTCAAGAACGATTCTTCAATCGTTCTTCTCTTCTGCATCATCATCCATTTTCCATCCGCTCTGAACTCGACGAAATGGAACATTGGGATCAACAATCAAAATTGATCGGCATCTAGAAATCTCCAGTTCACTTTGTTCATCTTGCTGTCTTTTGTTCCGCTCAAGTTCTTCATTTGATTGATCAAAATCCCTGTTCATCTCATCGGTATACTTCCAATGCTCGATCGAAAAGGATCATTGTCATTCTCATAGCAAATCAGGCAAATTATTTTTTGTCCGGTTTCGAACGAAACAGTATATATATTCTGGTCGGTTTTTGCACGTAGATTCCGAATCCGGCATCTATTTTTTGGTGTCTAGTCTAGTTTTCGAAAAATAGACGAAAAACTAGTTTTACGTGGAAACTAACGCCTTTTATTACTTTCTCTCTTTTTTTTTCGTTCTGAATATATATGTTTTTCTTTCCATTTTCTCTTTTTCTATTTTATCGTGTGAACGAACAGAAAGACAAAAAGAATATCCATCTAAGCTTGTATCAAGCACTGCTGTTACTTCAGTTCAGTATACTTGTTCAAAATAGAGCAGATATAAAATATCAATTATATTAAATCCGAGAGAAAAAAGCAAGACTGCTACTAAGAAACACTACAATTACTTGTATAGAAATCATTTGTATGCTCTCGCGGGGCACAAAAAGTAGACTGTTAACTCCTTTTCATAGTAGGCAACGTCGTTACATCAGCAGCTTGAACAGAAGGAAAATCTGAACAGAATCGCCTGATTTTTAGATGTCAAGGCGCTAGCCTGGCCCAATTTACACAAACGTTTTAAAAGTAACTGATTCTTAGTAAGAATCAGGCAAATCAGTTTTCGTCCGGTTTAGAAGAAAATAGTATACATATTCTGGACCGTTGAAGTTAGTTTAATTTAACAAACTATACAGTTTACAAAACTTGTTAATAACTTTTCTTATTTTATTCTCAAGCATTCAGTCAAATATAAAAAGTTTTATTCTCTACGCTTAATCGAAATATATAGTCCAGATAGTTGTAAAGAAATTTCGTTCAGCAAAGGAGCGTTGAAGACTATACGTCATAAAAAATTCCATAATTTTACATGATCAAAACTCTTCGCATTACTAAGGTCATCTACGACTACATCTTTTATTTAGTAATTCTTTATATTGATTAGGAAGCATGTCAAAATTTAAATTCTAATTTATTTTATTTTGTATAATTTCGGTTTCTTTGATTGTATTGTTGATACATACATCGGCATATATATACTTTCAATGTGTTCGTTTTCTTTAACAGACATCTTTATAAGAGCACACATTTTTCTGTTTAAATAAAATCAGAAAGTAACAAACTTTATATTTTCATCAAATGTTCATCTTTTATGAAGCACAAGGTGGAGAGTGCTCCCTATAAACTTATTTCGTATTGCACCAACTTCGCGAACTAACACTACACTAATTAGAGTAGACCCATTTCCATCTTTTATACTAGTTTAAAGTACACGAGTAAAACTATAAAGTTTTACATCGTGTAAAATCCAAGCGCATTGTCATCTTCATGTATTTGTCGAAAATTGCATAATTATTCAGAAATACTTATTAGAACAGTTAAAAAGAAAAAGATAAAGAATATTAGTAATGAAGAATCTAATGGAATTAAATTTTTAAAAAACGTTTGTGTTAGATCAACGTTGTTTTCTATCGAAGTCATATGGTAGTAGATATGTATATTCAGTCATGACGTGTGAAATAAAACCTTATTCTCATTATATCATCATTAATCATATCATATTTTAAAATATTCCATGTTTTCTAACAAGTCATTTTATATTAAAAAATCCCTTAGTTCTTGTTGTTGTTGATATTTTCTATTTTGTTTCAAGACTTATAGGTATTCAAATAGACCTAACTATTTATCTGCTCTTTAATAACATCTGCTGAATAAAGAAGAGTAT